TGCTTGCGGGGGGGGCGTGTTGTCTTTTTTCATCATTTAACCACCTCTCACTGTAACACAAGTTAGGGCTATTTTTCAACAAGTTATCTAAGTATATATTGCTTTTAAAAATGGTTGATAATACAGTTTTGTGATAAAACCTATGCTCGGTGGGAATTGACTGGGGCTTTATACATTGAGATCAGTCACATCCATGAGTGAACTGGCCCTTGAACTAATTGCAGATGTGTTTGGACAGAGGTGGCTTTGATTTCACATTCCAGATCTTGGATTCTGCATATTCAGAAGATGAAAGTCTTTCCACCTTCACATCTGCATCAGGAAACTTCTTTTCCTTTTCCTTTTTGTTTAAGCATGGTACCCACTGGAACTTCATCTTTGCTGAGGCTGTTGAACTTGATTTAACATAAAAGTTTCAATCCAAAAGAGACTGCCAGTCAGGATGCCCTAAGTTAAGTCACTTCACTTTCTCCTCAAAGGTTTAAGTAAATTCCCAGTAAGCATCATTTTGCAAAGAAGAAATCCACACTGCACACCCAAGAGTGATTTAAAATGAGATACTTTGCAAGAATCTTTCCTTTAGCAATCTCTCAAAATGTGTATGTGTTGTACTCCATTCCTGAGCATAAAATAACATCGGTTATGAAGAAACATGGCTGATACTCTTTCCCAATACAGATGGCTGGGTGTGCTGTGCACTGGGTGTGCATGGGGCAGAAGCACTTCAAGTTCATATAAACTTTGAGGGGGGGGATTAACAATCCAATACCCTTCATATGCATGCACTTGAATACCCGCAGTTAATCTTGAGAGACACATTTCTTCTAGGCATTTTGATTTGTGTGCTGCCGAGCAATAGATGCCTAGAGAACCTGTTGAAAAACAACCCTGACACTTGCTTTATGTTTTGATGAGAAGTGGTTAAATGATGCAAAAAGGAGCCAGGTTCTGAGATTTTTCCCTGCTTAGTGTCTCTTTGTGAACGGTAGTGGGCACAAGAAGGATTTGAATTGTTGATACAGAAGCAAAATATCCCACGTTTATAAACAGGAGGATTTTTTTTGAAAAAATTAATTTCCGGGCTTTTAAAAACATACATTTAAGTATAGATACACTACACACAAATTCCAACAGAAACTTCCCGTATGTAGAATTACCAAGTGCTAGAGGAAACCAGAAGATGACCACATGTTCTCTACTGTGGTTCCTGAGAGGGGCAATATTGCCGGGGAAAGTTTTGTGGAGGGTGGTAGGAAAAGAGGAGGGCCTAACATGAGATGGGTTGACTGGACAAACCTGTTAGTTTAAAACACCTGAACAGAACACTGTTCGTTTATAAGACCTCAGCAGAATGTACTGGAAAAGGCAGTAGGAAGAGGGAATAGCGTGACACAAGATGCTGTTGGTTTGCAAGTTCTGACCAGGGCTGTTAATTATGTGACATTTTGGGGGTCATCCACTCATATAGTCATCACACATCAGATATGATGGCATGTAACATCTTTGGAGTTTATTAAAATTATCACACAATTGTATAGTGACGAGACAGGTTGAATGGTTGAGACTGGAGATGGGAATCATCTTGATTCATGGGTTGTCAACCTTGATGAACCACGAATTCCCCCCACCCCGGGTGGCATGGTGAACCATGAAAATAATTTGTCACTTTGTCGGGGTTTTGTAACTCCGTGGAGCTATCTAAAAAACCCTGCCCGCCCTCACAGCCTACCCCCACCCCTTTCCCACCGCTGCTTCCTCCTGCTCCGCGGCAGATTCAGCTGAAACAAAAACTCGATTGCTGGAACCGTGGTTTCAGTTCGGGAAGCCTGGCTTGCGCTAGGAGCAGCGGAGAGGGCTTCCCTTTGGACAAGCCTGACTGAGGCAATCTCCCCCTCCCACGCTGTTTGCAAAGACAGCGGGAGAATTCCTTTTGGTCAGGCTTCCCCTGTTTATGCTGCAGGGGCATAGAAAGACAGGGGAAGCCTGAGCAAAGCATCCCCCCGTCTTTGTAAACGGGGGTGGGATTCTCTTTGAATAGGCTTTATATCCGTCCCTTCGTCTATCCCTGCCTGCTTATGCCCCAGCTGATGCATGGGGGCATAAGCAGACAGGGATAGATGAAGGGGCAGATATAAAAGGGTTATATTCGTTGCTTTGTATTCATCTGGGTCTCTGGACCTCAATAATATGAAGCAATTAATATATGATGAATCAGCGATATTCGTTGAATATCAGAATTTTATTTATATTCATCCCCATGTCTAGTTGAGACTGTGACAAGATATAGGTACCAAAGCTCTACTAACATTGAGTCAGGCCATTCCCAACCGCAAAGCAAAAAGAGTATTTGTACAGCTTAAATAAGCAGGCTTTTGGATATTTCTTCTCTCTTCTTTTTTAAATATCTTTTAAATATATTTTTACAACCAGACACAGAACTGAGTCTCTCGACAGAAAGCAGTTCAGTGAGTCCTGACTGACAGGGTCAAAAATTCAGATTGTCCCAGCCCTGGAGCTGTTTTCCCTTTTGAAAACTTGTGTCAGGCACCTGGTCTCAGAATTTCTGACAGAATGTTTACTGAATGCATCCAGGCCTGGTTGAACAACAACTCTTGCCTGTGACAAGATATAGGTACCAAAGCTCTACTAACATTGAGTCAGGCCATTCCCAACCGCAAAGCAAAAAGAGTATTTGTACAGCTTAAATAAGCAGGCTTTTGGATATTTCTTCTCTCTTCTTTTTTAAATATCTTTTAAATATATTTTTACAACCAGACACAGAACTGAGTCTCTCGACAGAAAGCAGTTCAGTGAGTCCTGACTGACAGGGTCAAAAATTCAGATTGTCCCAGCCCTGGAGCTGTTTTCCCTTTTGAAAACTTGTGTCAGGCACCTGGTCTCAGAATTTCTGACAGAATGTTTACTGAATGCATCCAGGCCTGGTTGAACAACAACTCTTGTGTTTCTTGTAACGCAAAAATATTTGAAACGTGTCTTACAAAATTGCATACTAATTCCCTGAAGATACATAGCAAAATGTCCTCCTTTCAGGAGGACTGTCACTCCATTCGTTTCTTTAAGGCGAGCCTGATTCTTTTGACTCTTTCAAAAAAATTTGTCTTTTGCCTGTGAACTGTTTCTGTGAACTTTAATTACCTTACCATTCTCCAGACATTTCCCTTTCTTGCTCACAAACTGTAACAATGTATCTATTTTGCAAAGATCTTACTGGCCAACAACTCTTTCTTGTAACGCAAAAACATTTGAAACGTGTCTTACAAAATTGCATACTAATTCCCTGAAGATACATAGCAAAATGTCCTCCTTTCAGGAGGACTGTCACTCCATTCGTTTCTTTAAGGCGAGCCTGATTCTTTTGACTCTTTCAAAAAAATTTGTCTTTTGCCTGTGAACTGTTTCTGTGAACTTTAATTACCTTACCATTCTCCAGACATTTCCCTTTCTTGCTCACAAACTGTAACAATGTATCTATTTTGCAAAGATCTTACTGGCAAGTCTGTTCCAAGCATGCTCAGTGTTATAACAAAATCACTGTTTCTCACATTTGAAAGGCATCTTTTTAAAGAGCTAATATTTCAGTCTCCGTAAGCCTGTATTCTTTCCAAATTAAAAAAGTGGGTAGAGACAACCATTCCCTTTCAAGATGTGCAAGATTGAACTTTTTAGTTTAGTAAAATATGAGCTATTTTAAATTTGGGGATGTTTGACAGTTTGACCTTTTTTAAAAAAAAATTGTATCTCAAAAGCCCTTTAACCAAACATTCTCAAATTTGGCACAGAAGACAAACAGCCTATTTGTTATTGTTGTGCCAGATCTGGTGCTGATCTGAAGTCCAGTTTCAAAGTTACAATTTTTTGTTTGGGCTGCCCCTGTTTCTAGAGTTACCTTATAGAATGTCAGTTTGCTCTGCCAGCACAAGATCATTGCTGCACACTCATGTAGCAATAATACTGAGAATACTTCTCCTCAGAACATGCCATGATTGTCCCCACTACAACAGGCATCCCAGGCCTGCTGCAGTTTTCTGGTAGAAGTTTCAATCACTGAATTCTGTATCAGATGCGAAACTGTATATGTAACAGACAAGGCACCTCATATGAAAATGAATTCTGAGAATATGAACTGATCCACAAGAGAGGTTCGTATCATCCTTTGCTTCCCCCCCTTCCTTTTTGAATTGTTTGGGATAATTATACAAGAGAAAGATGTTATTTAAAAGAAATATGTACCGTATTTTTTGAATTCTGTATCAGATGCGAAACTGTATATGTAACAGACAAGGCACCTCATATGAAAATGAATTCTGAGAATATGAACTGATCCACAAGAGAGGTTCGTATCATCCTTTGCTTCCCCCCCTTCCTTTTTGAATTGTTTGGGATAATTATACAAGAGAAAGATGTTATTTAAAAGAAATATGTACCGTATTTTTTGCACCATAAGACACACTTTTTCCCCACAAAACGGGGGGGTGGAAAGTCTGTGTGTCTTATAGAGTGAAGAAAACAGATTATATTTTCCTGTTTTCTTCTCCTATAAAATTGGTGTGTCTTATGGAAAGGTGCGTCTTATGGAGCGAAAAATACGGTATATAATACACAACATTGTTGTTTTCTTTGCCTTTAAAAGCTTCACGATGGCCAGTAATTTGTATGTTTTGGTGTTATGTTCAGGTTAGCATTGGATGCCCTGAGAAAATGGAACCCATTACAAAGATTTCACATATTCCAGCAAGCAGATGGGCTTTGTCATGCAGTCTGTGCAAGGAGTGCACTGGAACATGTATTCAGGTGAGAGGTTCAGTCTAAAAAATTCCCCAGAACCAGGTGTCTTTCTTTTGTATATCATCTGTCTCATCAGAAAGATAAAGAGAAGGATCCTGTAATTTTGTATAGTAGAAATGCACAGTGAGAGTCACTAGTAAGCAGTATGTGTGAACAACCAGAAGAAGGAAAGTTTGTCAAGCATAGTTAGCTTTTGCTGTTTTTATTCCCTAGTATGTTAATATCATAGTGTTCACCTTTCTTGACATCATAGAAGCATGGATTTGGAGGCCAACAAAATGTGATCTCTTTATGTTCCTGGATCTGCAGTGATGATGGCTTTCCCCCCGGATGTGATGTATTTCCTTGGTTGGTGACAGAATAGCTTTTAATCTTATTCTTGCGCCATCTGTTAAAATCACTGCATGCGTCTCCCTTCGGTGACAGGACACTCAGAAAGATTGCTGGCAAATGTCAGCACTATGGATGCCTTTTTCCTTTCCACAGCAAGTAACTGTGTGGTTGCATTTGCATGCAATCACAGACTTAAGTCTTCAACAGGTCTCTGTTTTTCTGCTGTGGAATACCAGTGGGCTCCTCAGTATTCTCAACATCACTGATAACCGTGTTTCATCTTTTAAAAAGAAGGTTAGTGTCAGGAAGTGAAGCCCTTCCAGAAGTGAATAAAATTATATTCATGTTACATATATTTGTACAGATTATGTAGAGGTATCTATAAAGTCTTTCTCCTGCTAGCTAAAGGCAAGTTCCCTTCCTCGTCTCGTCCTTTATGCACACCTTCTCTATTTTTCTGCAGAGGACTTACAGAGAGAAAGAAGTTTTGGTCTCTTTCCTGTGTACCTCAAGTTTTATAGGACAGGGAGGGAAGGAAGCCACTCCTGTTTTCCGGCTTCAGCTTTTCTGTGGAGAAATTGTGTGTGTGCATGTGCACAAACATAGTAAGATATTTTAGGGGACAGCAACAGAGGGTGCATGTGTTTCACTGTCAGTATCCACGTATACAGACTGGTGATTAGGTTCAGAGGCATGTTCTTCTCCACCCCCTTGATCACATCTGTGCTGCCTTAAGTGCACTTCATTCCAAAAGAAGATAGCCAGACAGTTGACCTGTGGTCCTGGGGGAGGATCTGTTAAAGATTACATATGTAGTGTTGCTATACAAGTGTCAAGAGAGAGTTAATCTGGTGGAAGAAAAGTCAAGTGCTGCATGAAAAGGAAGCCTCAGGTTTCTGTGATGCTTGGGACTGTTCAAGGGAGATATTTTAAAGCATTTTCTTCTTTAGCTAAAAATGAAAGCAGCATTTAAAAAAAATATCCCCAACTTTACTTCAGCTCCATTTCTCATGGCTCTCTGGGTGGATCTGCTTATTTATCCTGCCAGATGGAGATATTCTGTCATAATGGCAATTGCTTTCAAGGAACGGAAGGGCAGGGGAACAAGTCAGCTACACTTGACAGCATGAAGTGGGGGAAGGGGCTTCAGTTTTCTCCTCAAAAACTTCATCCTGTTAGCTCTGGCTCATATGTTAGTTCTAAAATGTTCCAAGTTGAATAGATTTGCATGAGAGGGCACCTGAAATGGAAAACTGGATTTTCTTTCCTCTTTCCCTGGAGCTCCACGTTTCCTAAATCTTCATAAGAATGATAGTCAAGGTTTTGTCAGTAACAACCTTGTAAAAGATTTTAAAAAAATTTAACCAGAGAAGAAATACAGTGATGATAAAATTGTTTAAACATTTAAGCAATGACTAAGCTTTTAACTAAAATGTAGTCATAAATAAGAGTTCAGTTCTACCTTCTTATCATGTTAAGGTGGGCAATTGCGTTACTTGTGGTGGCATAGCACCTTCATCTGAGTATGCTTCTGAAGGTGAATTTTAGCATATGAGCCTGTGGAACAGCTTTTTGAGATTTCTTTGGGGGGAAAATTAATCTTTCTTGGCATGGGGAATCAACATCCATGAAGCCCGGTGACAGTCACAATGTCTAGCTGCTTGGTGGCAAAAATAATAGAGTTGATGTAACTGTGGAAAGAGCAACATGACTGGATGAAGCAAGAGACAGTGAAAAGAGATTAACTAGTGGTATTTCAATCACACCAAGCAAAGATATTAAATATTTCCTATTCAAATGCAAGAACTATGGTGAAGAAGCAGAACACCTGCTTTGCATAAAGAAGCTCTGAATCAGCTCCATATGGGACTGGAAGAATTCTTCCTGCAACCCAGAAAAACTGGGCTAAATGGATCAATAATATGATGCCATATCAGGCAGCTTCCTTCATATTTATGAAAATGCTGAAATGTCCTATAGCTATATCTTAGAAAAGGAAAACATGTTGAAGGTGGAATAAGGTCTTAACATTGTCAAAACCAGTTTGAATGTTGAAGTTGAATTAGAAATATGAAGGGATTCAACAGCCACCGTGGAGGTCAAGGCTTTGGAAAAATCAATAAAAGCAGATGAGATGCAGCTGACTAATAAGAACAGTCAGATTGTGCTAGAGTTAAGAGTTTCACTGAGACTCTGTATGTTAAAGGGAGAATGTGCCATTCCTCTAGGTAACTGCTCCCATTGATGAATTTTCTCCAGTAATTAATTTCCAGTTACCTAAGCTTTTTGAGTCCTGTCCTCTGCAGCAACAAAAAACAAGTCTATCCTCTCTTCAAATGTCATGCTATCAACTTCCCCTGAAGTCTCCGCTTCTTAGAATTAAATATACACAATTCCATGTTTTCTCAAAGGTTTTGTTTTCTTCCTGTCACTTAGGAGATTAGTGGGTTCCTCTAGTTAGGAGGGTTTTTTTGTCTTAGATGTTGAAGTCAGTGATAAAAACACTGAAGAGTTCAAGCCCTGTGGAACCTTCATCCCCTTGATCTGAACCCCATCAAGTAAGGGGAGACTTGACAGAAAGTGGAGAATAAAGTTGAAGGTCTTGCATTGAAGCTGAATAGTGGAACAGGTATGAGAAAATGCTTCTTCATAGGAGAGTGTTAAACTGTGGAATTTCTATAATGGGGCCAGCAGCTTGGACTACTTTAAAAGAGGATTGGACAGATTCATGGAGGATAATAGCTACTTCGTACAGTGGCTATCTATTACCCTCTCTTGCTGGACAGCGTGACTGAAACATATTTTTCTTCTTCTGTCCGGCTTGTGATATTATTCTCTTGGGCAACTGATTGCCCACTTGTATGAATAGAATGATGGACCATATAGGGCTTCATTCTGACCCAGCAAGGCTCTTCTTGGATTCTTACGTTTAGTTTGATGAGCAGCCCTTAATAGGCAGTCTCTGAATACAGTTTTTAATCTCCTGTGATTCTGTTGCATGGTATTCTCATCTGTCACACTTTCAGCCAAGTTGCTAGCCAAAGTACAGTAAAATGGGAAACAGTATCACTTGCTTTGCTGAAAGCAAGATAAGTTACATACAGCTTTCAGGCCAATTTAAAAGAGAGGGAGATAAAATGAATCTAGAAAACTTGTAGGTTTTGGTTAGTTGTTTTTGTTTGTTTGTTTTTTGGTTTGGTTTAAGATGCTAGGTTTTATGGCTCTTTCTGTGGATACGATTACTAGTCGAGATTCTGTCTTTCCTTTACCTTGGATATCACGGCTATTTCACTAAACCAGTACAGTTATAAGATAGGCTGTAACTCCTGTGGTGAAAGCCAGTATGATGGATAGAGTGTCAGACTAGAACTCAGGAGATCTGGGTTGAAAACCTCACTTGGCCATGGAAACTCACTTGAGATGCAGCCTTGATCATCTCACATATCTTGAAAATCCTGCTAAGATCACAATACGTTGCAAATAACTTAAGGCATATCATCTGATACCACAAGAATGTTGTTGTTATAACAATGTTCTTGTGGTATCAGTTAATGGGGCTCTACTGGAAGCAGAATGCTGCACTATATGGACCTTTGACCAATGATTTGCTGACTTCCCTAACTTGGTGATCTCCAGATGTGTATTTTCAAGTCCAGTAATTCCACAGTCATAGATGCTTGGGAGCAGAAATCATGTAGAGAGAAAAGCTATTGTGCTGAAGAACTTTGAATTCAATAGCAAGTTACATAGAGATTGCATGATAGAATTTTCATTATCCATAAATTGGGATATTTGTACAAATTGCATTGGGCAAATATGGAAACCTCTTTGGTGTGCAAAATGTTTTACAACATACAGAATTGAGGCCATGTATTTATACTCACAGATATGAGATTGGAGGGAGGGAGGGAGGAAGGAAGGATTTAAAGTGAGCAAACGGGACATAGCATGTTGATCTTGGAGTGCAGAGGACAAAGTTCATGCAAAAGAGTAAGATGAAATGAAAACAGGAAGAAGTAATGGTACTAATTTAGTGGTCACTAGTAATGTTTGTGGAGTTTGATCAGGGAATTCTGATGCAAACTGATCTGATCTGCACCTTCTAGATCAATGTGAACATTAAAATGTAGTTATCCATTGGCATCTGCATATCCTGAATGTTCTGCACTCAAAATACATTTAGAAATCTGTATTTTGGGAGATGAAGTACATATTTTAAGAGAAAAATATGTATACACAATTGTACATATTTATTTAAATATATATTTGCATGCCTTTTTTTCCTGATTTTTAAAATTAAAAGTTCTCAGGTAAGTTGAGGTATGTGATTAGAACACACAAGTACCGTATTTTCCCATGTATAAAAACTCAAAATACATTTAGAAATCTGTATTTTGGGAGATGAAGTACATATTTTAAGAGAAAAATATGTATACACAATTGTACATATTTATTTAAATATATATTTGCATGCCTTTTTTTCCTGATTTTTAAAATTAAAAGTTCTCAGGTAAGTTGAGGTATGTGATTAGAACACACAAGTACCGTATTTTCCCATGTATAAAACAAAACAACTCCCCCCTGATTTTTAAGATTAAAAGTTCTCAGGTAAGTTGAGGAATGTGATTGGAACACACTTACAAGTACCGTATTTTCCCATGTATAAAACAACA